TACATACATACATACATACATACATACATACAGACATACATATGACTAAACTGAGGATAAGTGCCCACATACTTCAGATTGAAGTTGGGCGATATCACAACATAGATGTCTTAAATAGAACATGCCCTGTCTGTGACTCCAATGAAATTGAAGATGAAGAACACTTCCTCTTCAATTGTAACCAGTACAAATTTGAAAGAGATGCTTTGTTTGAAAATGTAAACTTATCCGGTAATCTGAAAGCACTTCTCAATAACAAAAATTCTGAAACCGTCCAAGCAATTGCCAAGTTTATCAGCGACTGTTTCAATAAAAGAGAGAATTTCATGAAAAGCAATTTACCAGCTGCCTCAAAATAACACCATAAAAATATTTATATAATAATATTTTCACAGTATTACTATTTATTTCTTTTTTATTATTATTATTACTTATGTATTTTATTGTTCCTTATATCCTTATTGTATTCTAATCTAGATCCCAGAAGGGATACGATATCAATAAAGGTTGTTATTATTATTACATACAGACATACAGACAGGGTAACTGCAAAGACTCCCTTTTGTGCTTCGCACACGGGAGTCAAAAATCACTGTATTTGCTCTATTCCATGGAAGTACATACATTGTATTTATAAATTTCACAATTCAAACTGAAACTAGAGACCAATTGAATAACACTGGAATGTTTTCAAATGACATCAATGTATACGGTAATTATAGTACTGATTGGATCCTACTACCAATTGTGGAAATGAAAAAATCACAGTATTTAAAAATCCATGTGATCAACAAGGTGGTTTCATTTCAGATCAAAATGCTTATTTTTGTTGGGTGTATTTGCATTGACAAGTTCGCCGTCCCTGAAACGATCTACCAGTGTGTCACGAAATTGTGTAGCCCTGAGTACAGTCCTGTAGGTTGGCCTCCTTCCGCTGATCATTCGGCCCCCACAGTCCTGAGAAGTCGCATAGAGCAGGGATTCGACACTATTGTGAAGGAATGTATTGGGCGATTTAAGAGGCATTCAGCTTTGCTGTTAAAAAAATAAGCAGGTCGTCACGTCTAACTATTCTGAATGCCTTAACTGGAAGTGAAATTACATAAGATTTCCCACTCTAGTCGATCAAATCGACATTTTCCAACGTCAACCGAAAGTATACGCCGCCATCTTGTTCTTGACGTATTGATAAACAAAACGTTGTTTCGTTGCGTAAAACTAGTTTTTGCCAACGTTCCAGTGCTGTAGGTTCGTTTTTCGGCCACAAAAAGGGTATTTGTGATCGCTGGATTTGATCGATAGATGTTTTCGCTGGTTACAATCATGTAAACTGCAGAACGGTTCTCCGCCATAAATTTGTAGGCGGGTGTGAATCCCCGGTCTATGCGACTTCTCAGGACTGTGGGGGCCGAATGATCAGCGGAAGGAGGCCAACCTACAGGACTGTACTCAGGGCTAGAAATTGTGGAGCATATTATGCTGCTTTACATTTGATCCAATCCCTGTGGCTCATATATACGCATTCGACA